TGAAGTATTTTACAATATGTAACTTACTAGTATTGACGTTACTGCGTTCTGGATACATATACTGTGCTATCATTAGTCCGTTCACAATACAACTGGTAATATACTAATCCAGTCAAACATATATGTACTATTCCAGCCTTGCCATGGAAACCGAGATGCAGAGATACGAACCATTGATTGCCACTTAGAAACCTCTTTATTGGACTCGTTGATTATCATTCCCTGGGGAGATTATTTCTTTTTCCAAAGATGGTTTTGGTGAGTTCATAAATGTTACCGCTTAATGTAACAGTATTCAATATCACAACAAAATATATATTCAATAATAAAAAAAATGATTAAGGTTAATTTGGATCGGCAAGACGATTGGAAACAGAAAACTCACGTTTGCAATCTAGGTTTCAAACTAACGCACGCGATGACGAAAGTATTTTTTTTACATCAGAACATGTTTTTTATCTCATAATAAGATATATGTGAACATCAGCATGAATCTAAAGCTGAGATATGATGATTTTTCGTTTTATTACACAAGTTTATTCTTTCACATGTTATTGTACATGCAGCACAGTAAATTATTTCTCCGCATATTCTTCACTTCCAGGATCTTTTGCAAAACTTCCTTACTGGCAATACAGGTACAACGTGCATATTATCGAAGAACAACATGGATGATGTGTTCAATTCATTAACTGGGTTGTTTTCTACGGACTATGTATTCACTAACTCTTATATATACTAGTAATAGTTAAAATAAAGTACACTGTAAACGGCGTGGTTTCCGATAGTTCGAGCCGATTTAAAATTCAAAGAATTAAGGCAGAACAATTCACTTTAAATAACGAAGAAAATCACTGGAATTTCGCTAAATTAAATGTAAATTTTTTAGATACTAGTATCTTAACAATATCAAGATTTATATCAATAATAATATATGATTGTTTTCATCCCTTTCACCATAGAAAGTAAAGCATACATGTATATTTCCGCCATTGTAATTCGGAATCTTGTTTTCATCATCTGATTCGCTTTCAATTTGCGTACTAGTATTCAAGGAATTTCATGCGCGGCCATAACCCCACGTGACCCAACACTGGCCAATCATTACACAGTCAACATTTATCTACATTTCGTCTGTATTAACTAGTGGAAATGAATGTACTGTTTATGTTTATTTTTAGGCAGGTCTTATTTGTTGCACCCAGCATCAAAGTGAAATTGGTTCTCGCTTCTTGATTTTAACATCCAGTAGAGTTACCGGGAGCCTGACTGGCCTCATGCCACTCAACACGAAACAGTTTTTACGTCGTTTTCAACAGATTGTCGGATGTTATCTGTGGGTATATGACCAGTGACACGTTAAAGAAGTCTAATGGTGTCTGTAATGAAGAGTGTCCGCATTAGCGTGTAGAAATTATACAACAATCTGATCCAAGATTAGCCATGTCCATTTATATATCGGTTTATTTTCATTCAACTTTCAGACCCTTGATATATTTATTTATTATTTACTACATTGTTCTGCATCACTGACATGTAATATGAAATGTATATAAATGAGTTGTTTATTAACAATATTTAACATATTATGTGAATTGTTCAATAAAATTACATCCAAGATGACAACAGATTGTAATACACAACAAGAATTTCCATTATTTGGCACTGGATTCCATAGTTGATTTTTTTTTTAATTTGGTCAATAATTAGACAGTTTGCCAGTTCGTCACCCACGTGTAAATTCCTATCATAGGACAGTCACGTACATGTAATATAACCTTTCAATGTAGTAGACTGTGTAGGGTGCATGACTTGTTTGTATCACTTCTATTTCAGGCCCCTCTCTGAGGTCTATACTTACATGCAAATTATCAGAACACAGGTACAAATTATTAGCCCACCAGAAAATTACACGTGAATCTACAATTAAATTTACCGAGAGTCTATTTCTTTTGATTCAACATTTTATTTCAATTGCTGCACCACCACTGCATCTAACATACCCATGGTCCAATATTAAAATTGCCCGTGTTTTTCCCGATTCGTGGACAGTTGCTTTTGTTGCATCCATAACATCTTTTCTAGAAAAGTAGATCTACACAAAAAATAACCAATTAGACTAAAATTAGACTATCGGTAATTATTTCTAATCGGTTGTTATAAATATACTTTGACGTAGAAAAAGATAATGCAAGGACTTCCCTGCCAAAAATGTAGCTTCCTTTTCATAAACCGTTACAAACGCCCGGCCAGTTGTGTTACTTATTACAGACCTAAAGCCAGTGGTGTTATTATACTGTTTACCTGGACCCCATTGGCGCATCATATCATAAGACAAGATGATTGTTGCCATCACTTCAGTGCAATGGCACTGTTACATGATCTCTTAGCAATCGACCCAATTGCAAGACCCACTCCTCTTTCCCTTTACCTCGCATTGGTAGCTGTCTCAATTTTATAATTCTTTCTTAAATCTAGGCCCTATGCGAAATTACCACGACTGGTCTATTCCGAGGCGCATTTGCTATTAATTATTCATGCTACAGTGACGTTTTCGAACCCGGGAGTTGAACACTTCCAAACGAGGAAAGTATGCGTGAGTACAATTTTACGCGTCTGGCCACGCGTGTGTCACTGTTATAGTTGCAAAGAAGAGATCAGACCAAAATATCACCCCCAAAAAACGAAACGCGATGACAACTATAGAGGGCGCAGTGGAAATTTCGCGTCAACGCGAGAGAATATACAAACTTGTTCTTTGAGAAATTATCACATAAAAGAATAAAATTGTCACGACATGGCTAGTCTGATTGTAATCCATCACAATACCAACATGCATCATACCTGTACATACATACATATACAGGTATGTGGGTAGCGTTTTTGACAATTCTCAGCCATGGGCCAAAAGACAAAATAATATTTAGTTGTGAGACATTCTCGACGCTGAGGTCGCTGGTACTATTCAAGTTCGTTCAATACCACTGACTCTAAGAAAAGCAGTCTATCATAGAAACACTTTTCAACAATTGTAGCTTTTCTTAGTAAAGAAAAGTTTGAAAAGATGCCAAAATGTAAAAACTCTCTGCATTGAGTCATACTTGATAATCCGATGAAAAAATAAATACGACTTTGTACTGTGGGCAAAACAATGCATTATTACATAGTTCAATAGATAACGATTCCACATTGCAGGTCACGTCCTGATTGCTTGCCTTTGTACAGCTGAATGTTCTTTCTCTGCATTACATATAAGCCTAAATCAAATCGACCACACACACTGAGTTCGTGTGCAAACCACAGGGTACTTAATTTGACAATACGAACGCTGGCGGCGCTATGTCCATTTATGACTTATTCACTTGAAACGTAAAGGGAAGTACATAAAAATATAGCCAGATTAAACGAAAGATCAAACGAAGGAAGAAATAGATGGATGGATGAATGAAAATAACCACACATTATAGACATGGTTTGAAGTTCCGAAAACACTGGGTGGTTGATTCGCGTGGTCTTAGCCTGGGCGTCGTTGCACTAAATACAGGACGTGGTTTAATGTTATGAATGTTATTAGTGTATTCGTTAATCAGGGTTTCTTCTTGTACAATGCCCTTTCTAGCAACCGTATTTGGCGAGATATTGGAGGGAACCAATGAATTGGCAATTGTAATTTAGATATGGTAGTAGTATACACTTAACAAACTAGTGGGCAGTGGCAAAGTGACCTTCGACCCGGCCATGCGTGGATACCTACAATATTTCATTCGCTGTTAATATACCGGAATTATGGACATACCTGGCATATCGTAGTTACCGTTGACAACCCAGATGAACTCTGCACCGTTGTCGGCCATTTTATGCTTATATTAAAGCGCGATTTAATATCATTGGTGAGTTAAGCAACTGAGACCAGTAGAATCATCAATCCTACAAAAAAGCTGTCGTTTCCCATACAATTGAACTGGTAAGTTATTGTTGAATGAAACTAATATTGATATTGACCGAATATTCAATTGCGAGTTCATGCAGGCCATGTTGTATGATGGCGGAGATTAGCAGCTTATATCGAGCCATGTCTTTACGTATCGTACCTACTAGAAATGTTGCTTTGTTGCTTATGTTGGATAATCATACCATACCAATTCATTTATGTGACAGATTGTGTGTTGGACATACATTCTACCGTGTATATAGAAATTTGTCCTTATATTCAATTCCCCCAATGGCTTGAAAAAACCTCACCAGCAATCGGTTATATATGCTGTAACGACCAAACCACGCACACAGGTAAGCATAATGTTTATTGAAACTTATTTTTAAATTAAAAAAAAAAATTAAGAAAATGATATGCCGAATTGTACCTCTTGGCATCTATACACGCGTTAATTAGACATAGAGTCAAGGTCAAGTATCAAGCCTTCTACGCTCAATATATTTCAGGTATCCCGAAGGTCAATTTGCTGTAACGACTTTGAACATACCAATAATCACACATGTGTTTGTTAGCTTGTATCATGCGGCATTTGACATGTAGCAACGCATACCAGCCCAACATAATTGTAGTATTTATAGCGTTATAATTATACTGGCGCTCTGTGTGTCACATACGCCTAGTGACCCGTTGCATTCAAATAAATTATGATAAGACGTATTGATGTATATATGTTCTTATGAGGACACAGTCGCACCTGTCGATTGAGATTGCCTATCATAAATATCTCCTCTGAAATGTCTATTTCTGAGGTTTCCACTATGCAGTCTTCATATACTACACCCCAATGCTGTATACTGTGTGTTTTCAATATAGTGTCGGTGATGTTGACACTTGTGCGACGAACACAATCTAGAATGAGCACTGTTTCGCAGTAAACACATGTAGCATAGTGAACATCTAACAAAGATTGAATCTATAATACGGGTGACGCTTTATTCGAATTTGAACTTCAAATCAAGTATTTGTGTATGTGATTTTGAAAAGGTACAATGGTAGAGCCACATTCATAATTCCCTGATAATAATATCACATTATGTGATTTATGAAGATGGCTGACCGTTGACGTTGGCCCTACTACAATACGTGTCCAAATCAAAGAAGGGAATACACGTGATTCTCTGCTATACAGCCAATAAATTGTATTGATAAAGAAAACATTGAACTCCATGTGAACGACAATGCAAACATAAAAATCATTTTACACAAGAAGCCAAAATGTCAAAAACCCATAATTTTTAATAATTTAAAAAAAGTTGTAGTTTTTAAATTGAAATAGTATACGGCATCATTACAGTGTTGACAAATCAAATTGTTTCAACTACACTTGCAGCATTGGAATAGTTCACTCAGCTGAGCACCCACTCAAAATATGTCCACCATTTTAAAACTGACTGGTTCTTATTAAAAAATCACTCAAAATTCTAAGGCTGTATAATTCTAATATCAGGATAAATAAAACTGTTTGAACAATTATCATACCACATTTTGCACAAAAAAATGTTTTCATAATTATAATTGTTTTGTGAAATCGTCTATTGATATTTTGTTTTTATTTCATTCATACTACATCTATATTTATAAATACATTGTGCTGCGAGTCAACCCATGTCATCTGATGTAGGGATATATGCCCTATTCCTACGTCATGTTCAAATATGTTTACTTGTTATCGATTCACTACCAGATTCAACCATGATTGCCCGCAGGGCGAGTTCGGTACACGACAAATTCAACTGCAGAACGGGAAGTACGAATGACTTTTAAAGAGAAGTGGGCGTGGGACACTATATGTATAGATCCCATCCGCATTTAACCTATATTAATCCACCTGTTATAATGATTTTTTTTCCTTTTTCCCAATTTAGTGATGTGAAGACCGGCAAAATATACTATTGATAATTATATAAGACAGCATTACTACATGAATGATTCGTCAACGATGCTCCCTAAGCTTGGTATTGGTCACATAGTCCTAGCGACTCTCACAATCATACTTGGCATTCTGTTGATTTTATTCTGGGACGAGGATACTAGTCTCGCGGCACAGGGACATGGATGGGAAATAGGTCTGCATATCGTCTGCGGTGCATTTGTGAGTTTCAGATTAGATTTTTCTTCCGTCTAATACTGAGACGAAACTACTTCTGAGAAACAAAATACATGTAATCATCACTCATAGAGGAAATGTTTATGATACACTTCCAAAAAGCACCTAAACAACAGAAACTATTGTATTATATTATATTATCATATACATCATGTTATTTATTGTGATCATTAGTATTATACTTGATTTAAACATGAAAATATGTGAAAAAACGCAACTGAAGTCCATTTAACTTATATTTTATAAGAAAACAATAATGGCCCATTTTTAACGAATAGCGACTTTGCTATAATTTTTGCATGGAGTTATAAGAGTACGATGCACCATGGGGATTACAAAGTCAGCCTTCACGCAAGATGTAAGAGTATTAACATTGTGTTAACATTTGTTTTGCTTAATCTTGATATGGTCAACTAACCACCACAGTAGTATGTAACAGCTCCCATGTACCACGTTGAAATGGAGTGTCTTATGCAAATGCAATATTTTATTATTTAACTAAAATGGCTAGGGATGGGTAAGGCAAGGAAAATAATTAATATTATGTGTAATTAATATTATGTGTCTAATTTCTCTACTAAATTGCATCAATAATGTTATTTTCCTTGGTGTGGATGTCCATAGAATTGCCCTTTTCACTCCGTGATAACCCGCCCGGCCATATTAGAAGAAAAACACGTTTATTTTAATCGTTTCAGTACCTGGTACCAGGATTTATTGGATGCGTTTTGGGAAGGAAACGAAAAATATCAACGGTAAGAATTGGTTTAAAGAGTACTTGTACCCCATATACATCATCAGTATATTCATTAACATTAATGTATTTTATTATATTAAAAATGCAGCAATACAAATTAACATGTGGTTTTCTATACTGAAGACAAAGTCTATTTTGGGTGGCCATACCTCAAATTTGGTCCTAATGTAGTAGGCGTGGAGCTTGTAATCAAACAAATTTTACGAAATTTACGTTTTTCTCTTGGTCTTCAAGTTACCTCCATTTTTAACTTGTAAATACCCGTGAATATATTCCTTAGCTTATGTATATGCTGTATGTCGGTTTAGAAAGTAAGCCGTTTTGTAGTTTGAAGTGGCTGGACAGTGCTCCGACTGTTATAAGTGTCAAATAATGACGTCACACATTTCAACAATGTTAGTTTATCAGGGTGTTTTATCATAAGCAGGAAGTTTTTAAAAAAATCGCATTATCTCACATGAGGTCATACAAACAAATGTTTACATTATATAACTATATTAGTTTCTGACTTTTTTCGGAAATATTTTTTTCTTATTACCATATCTGCAATGCGTCAGAAAACATTTTCTTTATTCAATGTGTGTGTTGTTTTTTTACCAAGGTTGGTGGATTGGTGGCTGCGTCTGTATACGCCATTGTGATGACTTTGGCTCAGACACTCCATGCAACATTCACAATTGTATCCGCAGTAAGTACCATCATAGCTTCATTCTTGATACCATGCTTCTGACACGGTTGTTATGAAAAGAAACGAATGCGTTGCTGATCACGGGTAAAGGCCAGGGTTATTATTTATTATTCCGATGGCGTATGACAATTACCAGGAAGCATTGCGCGATCGAAATAAAATCTCACAAGTAGTTTTGAATGCCCTTCAACTGGAAGAAGATTATATTTTACTTGACCTTTATCGCGAGATTCGGTTAATTTGTCGCCCCGGAATACACAAAATAGGTTTATCCCGTCCCGGTGGGTCCACAGTTGTTATGTGTAATTTATATTTTCTAGGACTCGTTCGCCATGACACTCATATCGTTGGGCCTTATGGTTACAGCGATCATTGAGCTGATTATATCGGTAATAACAATTATTGTCGCAGTCCGGGTCATTTCAGTGGAGGAAAAACAACGGTTTCAGGTGACTTTCAACTCTGCTTCAATCTACCTTTTCCGTGTCTAGTTTTAAAGGCGATGGTCGTCGCGTCGCGTTCTGTTCGATATGGGCTCATAGCGACGTATACAACGCGTGTAAAATACATTGTTTATTTACATAAAATTCGAACACGCGACGACCACCGCGCTTTAAGCTCACATTTTGACTTGTTATTCGTTATTTTTAATGGCGTCCATCTCAATTTCTTGAATGGTGACAGATATCTTGAGTTTCGGTTGTATTTCCAAAAACTCTCCAGAGAACTGATTTTCAACAAAGGTTGGCACTTAGTGCGTCTTCCACTTGTATAGATGATTTATTGTTGTCATACATATTTTTGTTTTTTGTATATATATATATATATTTTTTTGTGCCAGGCGACAGTTCCGGACATTCAGTGTCACTGTTGTCTCTCCTGACTTTTTTTTTGTATGTGCAAATTGCAAGTGCTAGTGCCGACACCTAGTGCATTTTGCCACCGAAGTCATATTCATGTTCGAGACTACATGACAGGGTTGTGTGGCCATCTCTCTGTCAAATGGCAATTTGTAATGCGCTATCCTGGCGTCAACCAGACCCAGTCGAACACAAGCACCTGCGGACCTTAACCAAGTGTTCCCCAAAGTCGGATTCGTTAGTGAATGAATCTCGGCCAGTGGGATAAACCTTCCCATTGAGTCAGTGGTACACCCACCCAGGGTAGGGGTCGACCCTTTTGATGTTCAGCCTAAGGTAGGATTTGAACTTGGGTCTACCGATCATGAGTCTGATGCGACAACCACGATGCTACCAGTGACCGGTTTGTCATACATGTTACTTATAAAACTGTTTAATTCACACAGCGGTTTACACGTACCAGATCCCGTTCATCGATTTGCAACCCGTGTCATCCAGCTGCACGGTTTAACCCTATCGCACTTGAGTCGTTGGCAGATGAAAGATATCAAACACGAGGTACGTACTAATTATTATAATATCATGATGTCATTTAAATAGTGTGACATAGGTTTCACGGGCTTTATATGGGAAACTGTACATATTATTATAATTTATTCATTGCTAATTTGCAAACATGCCAATTTCGATAACACACGAAATAGGGATAATACACACAGTCAAACAATGAGCCGAAATGTTAACTGCACCCTCTTGGTCGCAATACCCGTAAAGGCCACCATATGCAGCGTTGACACTGATTGTAACGATAAAACTTATATTCCCCATTTTGAAATAAATTCGACAAAATATCATTTACACTTCATTACTGTGGGTGTTATAATTGATGACGAAATCGATACAATGATTTTCTGGAGTCAAATAATGTTGGTAGTGTAGCAGAGAACTCGGCGATATATTTATATCTTAACTCTTATTTCAATTCTGTCATTATGTAGTTATATTAGTTACAATTCTCAAATTGTATGTGTGCCGATATAAAAAAAATTACAATGAAATGAAATGAAATATTATGAGGTTATTACGAAGATACCGAAAAGTATGCACGAAGACAGTACAGCGGAAGTATCGACCGACGAGCATCGGAGTGTGGAGTCCGGTCAAACCCTGGGGGCTCCCATGTTTGTTTTCATTATTAGAGGGGACCCCCACGCGTGTAATCGCTCCATATTTGGAATTCGCATTTCCTAATATGGTAGGATGAAAATACCACGTAAAATAACGCAAAATTACGGCACGCTGTAACTTAAGGCGTTACGGTGACAGATTTATAATATCGAACTTTGATCAGCCCTTACTGTTTTACATGTCATGTCCATAATACCCGGTCATTGTCCGCTTCATCACGAGATGACAATGACATGCAAGTCAGTGAGAAGGCATGGCAAAGAGATGCAGCAAATATTTAACAATGTGAACGAGTTTACAACAGCGTTATGTGTTGCCCCCAAGTACTACATGTAAAGTGAATTTTGAGATCATTGACACCGAATAGCAGTAAACTGGTATAAGGGGTGACAAGCTGCATTACAGCAAAGGAAATTACGTTTCTTACATAGCGTATTAAACTTGCACAATAGTCGTTAATATGTTCCTGTAGTTTTCATAAAATCCAGAAAGCTCTATGCGCAATTAATTATGCAGGCGACATTGACTATAACATTGCATGCTAAATACCAGTCATTACAATATCGGATAGTACATTGTCAGCTAAATGGTTAACCATTCAGCTGAACATTGAAATGCAAAATTTGATTTGGAGTAACACTATCAAGAGACGAGCCACATCGTACAAGGAACATTAAATAGAGTTTTTCTTGCAGTAAATATAAATTCACCTTCTTGATAATTGTATGACCCCCCATATCGAATCCCACATTCCAATAATGAGCTGAATGGTTATAGAAAATCAGCATGCCATGTTGCTGATTTGGTGTTCCATTCAGTCATACTCTTTCGTACGTTAATTTCAGGGAGAACATTGGTCAACAGTAGACAGAGAAACACGTCTTCCACCAGCCGCGTTGGAATGAGCACGACTAGTTTGAATACGAGCCCATCGGAAGTGACGACTGAGGTCAATATATTCGCTTCCACCATGTCAAACTTGTATTGTGGTAACCAATCAGAGAGAACCGAGTCTGCCCAGATATTACCGCCTGACATTGCCCAAAACTCCCATGTGACTCTCTCTAATGTCAACGCATCCTGTCGACCTGACGTTGCGTCAACGCCCATACAACAAACACCTAGTCGTGGAACCAGCAGATATCAAAATCTTCGGCGGGATAGTTCGTATTCTCCTATGAAAAGAGAACATGAGATGCGAATGGCGGATTGTGGGGCAATTGAACGTGACTTACAGAAAAACGACACGGCACCTCCTCATGTTGTTAACTCGGGACAAAATCGTCTATGTAGAGAAGTAGTTGACAATACATCCGATTTGCATCGACAGCGCCACGTAATTAGAAAACAGGGGCATTATGTTGACCCTCGTCAAAACACAAGCCCGAGTCATCATAATAGATGCAGTCAAGAAACAACATCAAACTCGAGCGAACCGCCCCCGGGCTACACTGAAGTCAATCTTTTTGACAACCACCGCGATGATAGGCCAACGTCGCCAGTGCCTCCCAATACTCGTATTGATGAACAAAGAGTGGTACATAAAGATTCACCTTTACAATACTCTACCGGGCAGCAGTCCACATCAGCGTTCCGAGATCCGGGCAAGTTATGCCATGCGCCAGTTGAAACAGTCACAGTTACGCGGAGAAGGGACAAGGCTAACATATCACAGACCGAAGAACACTCGAATTTCAAAATATTTGAGATGCAGACGGAGGGTGATTTGAATAACTACGTTAGTCGGGAAAGAATTACATTGCCACACGACGGTTACGGTGACACACTGACACCAAAGACAGCACGCGAGCCGAAACCTCACAGTGATCGCGACAAAAGGTCGGCAATACGGTCCCCTCAAAATAAAGGGAGACGCCTGAACAGTAAATCCGGTAAAAAAATTGACGTTGTGAGAAATCAAGGTTGTGAAAACTCTGTATGTCAAAAAGTGGAACAGCGTAGTCGATTCATTACAGGGAAACAAGTTGACGTTGCCATAGGTACACAGCAAGAGTATAGTCAACCGACCGATGAACGACTTTCTCGCGCGACTTCACATACATGTATGCGTGATTCAGATCAACATGCGGAATTCCAAATAGAGTTGCGAGTTAAAGATAACAAAGGTGCTTTAGGGAAGGAGGTGTTTTATTACTCCAACGCTTCTCTGGACTATAACACAGGGCATTCGGAAATTTAAATATGGATAAAAAAATGTCTATGTAACCTCAGTACATCATTTTCATGTCACAATATTTGAAAGAACTTCAAATATGGCCTGATGAAGTGTGCAATTTTGGGTTTATTTTAACTCATTGTCACCCGAACCATAGAAAGGTCTATGCCCGAACCACGATGTGTAGCTAACACACTTTTGGTTGGGATTATTTTGTATTCAAGTTGTAAGGTTTGTTCCTACATGATAAGAAAGCCCGTGTTATGTGCTTACGCAACTATTAGCAAGGTAAGTACGAAGTAAATCTGTGCCCCGTTTTTAAGACCCGGTCTAGAACCTTAGCACAGGCAGTATATCCTTGGCACAGGCTAATGTAGTTAGTGTGCGCGAACGCTTAGGCTCAAGTTAAGCGCCTAAACACCGTTGTATTCAAGTTCAATGTCAATTTGGATGGATGTTTTACTACGAGTATTATGTTCATTTGGGTATGCCCTTTCCATCGTGACATTTGAACTGAGTAACAGAGGATCGTACGAAGGGGTTTATTCCAAGTCGTATATAGTGGCGTTTACAACTGTTTGCAAAAGCATTAGACTGTCTGTCCTCAAAGCTACATACAGCCGTTGGTTGAAATAATCGTCTCATTTGCATAAATTAATATTCATGAGTAATGAAAAACTCGTCTTTTCAGTAAAATTGTGCCAAAATGCTTCCTGTCGTTACAAGCTAAAAAACTATTTGAAAAACTGATGTAAAAGTGTTTTTTGAGACACGTTTTTGATCAGACTCCAGCAAACTGTGAGTAACCAGAGGTTTTTTCTTTAACGGGAGAGAATGGAGAATGCAGAGACACTTTGATATTTCACTCTAGTACTATTGCTCAAAATAACTTTTACCAGTGACAACTTACCTAATTAGTATTCAATTCGATGAATTATTGTGTGTGTGCATGCGCAGTTTGAAATGGAAAATTTTGAACGTAATAAAATCACGCGTAGAACTGACTGCTGCAAGCAACTAGTAGAGTCAAACTGGTTGTCGGTTGAACTGTATATTTCTATGTAATGTTTCTAAGTTTCGTTGAGAGTTATTTTATAAAGAAATCGCTTAAATGATTCCACCTATTCGTAAAAGGGACGTTGTTGCTTCGACGGTGGATCACAGACGACTGATTTGAAAACGTTCTATCCAGATCGGACAGCGCCCTCTCGTGCCAATCCCCCTGAACGATGTGTGTTGATACTGTCGGTGGCAGCTTATGCACGTGACTGTATGTTCTATTGATTCCCAGACTAGTAATACAATTTTCATGATTTTCTGCCTGACTCAAACAGATTTAGACTCGTAGGCTCGTTCCAGGTTTGTTCACGACACGTCGGGTCATCGTGGTCGTGGGCTCGTGCAATACACCTTTCAAGTTCTATAAATCGCGTTCTCTAGTGATGTAAATGGTTGACCGTACAGAAAGCCGTTCAAATCGTTGACACTGATTTGATCTGCCGTCGACAGTCGTTAATGAATGAAGATTTGGGTTTTGAGAGTTTTGATTATGTTCTCGGTGACGAACGACTACGCAGCTAAGCACAATTGACGATTTAAACGGCATTGCCTTTATCGAGTATGTCACTTTGATGTCACATAAGCGCTCTGCCACTAGAGGGCGTGATTTACGGGAAATTCAATACTAGTAGTGTATCGTATCAAGCGATTCCAAATTTGTTCTAATATCGCATTTATCCGCTAGGTTCTGGTATGGTAAACTAATCTTTAGGACTAAGTAGTAAGAACTAGAAAGACAAAATGGCCAATACAATGACGTAGTGGAACAAAAATAAAACGTGAAACCGAAGCGGTATTTTATCAATTTGTTTTATATACAGCTATTACATCCTTTGATCATTATCAGAGCATTTTGACGATTAACTGTACGTTGTGAGTCTTCTAATCACAATTGCGCAGTTCAAGTGTATACCAGAAACCAATTAAATATATTATTATATATTATTAAATATATATTAAATGATCGAACATAGCATATCTACGGCACGTTTTTCTAAATGTGTTTATTAACATTATTATCTTTTTTTTGGTATTTTTGTAAATGTCCTATTCGTGTTTTCCACTCATAGCGTTCATCACCTTTAGTTTGATATGCTGGTTTTCAATGCTGTGAAGGAGATCGGATCGTCTCCGAAGAAAGCGTACCAATAGACCCAGTTCATATGGGTCATTGACATTAAGATGGACATCAACTATCTGTGGGATATCGGCCTGGATATCGAACTCTGCTGGAGCTGTGGAGAAAATAAATCAATTGCAGGTTATATAACATAGCTTCAACGGAGGAGCTTTGTTCCAGTGATGTGTAATACTGAATGCACATAGCTAGATTAACAACCTTATACATGATACACATTATTCATGGCATAAATATGTGGTTGAAGCACGATGTCCACATTTTTTTGTAAGCCACCCTTCCAAAAAAATATATAATTGTATTGCACGTGCTCGAATCAATGGAAACCTTAGAATCGAGGTCTCGTCTTATTCACATCATGTTAGTAGATACCTTCTGTGTCGCCTTTTAGCTGAGCTTCATCTACTTCCTTTCCGTCAATATTAGCTCGTATATTCTCTGCCAGGTCGACTGTTCTATTACCTGACTGTTGCAAGTCGTACACAGCCACAGGCTGGTCATCAGCTATAATTACATCTGGGGCGTTGGTAACAGCCTGAGTAACGGTGTTGTCCAATTCAAGTCTGCGGCGTCCTTTTCAGGACGAAAGAAAAGAGAAACACGTTGTTTCACTATGTTAAAAACACGATGAGTAGGCTATTATAAATACTCTAATTACAAGTGAATATATTTCAAACTGTTTTTCATGGTCAACGTGATATTGGAGGTACAACTGTAGGTTCAAGCTGTGACGAATGGTTAATTTGCCACATTCCCATTGCATTAAGTATTCGCGCGTGTTAATAATTTCTCTTTCTAAAACGAATAAAAATATGAAAGACAATTAACGAAAACATGACGTACAACATGGGATATGAATATTGGCACGTTAAAGTTGCACTCCGAAATCATTTCTAAATTGCATTTGGGGTAAACATAAAATTATCAGGATCTGCCTGGTTTCGAATTACAGTAACTGTGGACGGTAAATCGAAAATGAAACGAAATGAAAATGAAAGTTTCTGTTGAAAAAAATGTGTGTTATTTAAAATAAATATATCAAATATGTTTACATTCAGTGCTAAAATCTTTTCAAAATGTTAAATTATGAAAAAGTAGATCCTGCGGTAGGAGAAGTTTTCGTTCGACTGCTATATGACGTCACAACTGAGCGATGTTAGGAAAAAGATAGCGAACTACGAAATCGATAGGTAAAAAGGTGTTTAGGTAATTTAGGCGTGATTTCAAAATAAATTTTATACGAGTTTCGCTCGCATAGCAACGGACAAATACATCTACTTCCTACCACGTCGTTTGGGGCACCCCCAGGGGGCGACGCGAACGCACTCATGGAAAAGCAAAAAGTAGGTCCGGTCATTAATATTTAAATTAGCTTGTGGCAGAGACTAGTCATTGACGCTGCAGGTCGGCGTCCCTACACCGATCAATCTCCTTCCCATAGGCCTTAGCGCTTTACGCAATAGTGCCTCTGCCACAGGCAGCCTTCAATTTTGTGGTCAATCACCTCACTACGCACGGCCATTTTCTTGTACCTGTTACATCTGAAAACGTACTACAAAAGTGGGGGAAAAACTTATGTGACATCCGAACTATTTATTAATGTCAGACCCCAGTAAAAACGTAAATACGAACCATTTTATCGCGGACTATGTTTTGCAAGGTAATGTTACTGTAGTGAAATGGCGCACGCGATACACTAAAACTTGGAAGAAAAAACGTTCTGTTATCGTATATAGTTGGAAAAGAAACATTAAAGACTAATTTCACTGAAAGGGGTTTCCTAACATTTCCGTTCATCTTGTATTCTGGTGAATATTTCAATACTATTTCTGGCTTGAACGGGTTCGATTTTGCGCGTCTAACAGCAATAGAACACAAAGGTTCTAGTAAGTTTATAAAGTTAGCCATTTATTGTAGAAACTAATGCTTTGGCATGTAGGAAAGGATTGTACTTTTCTAACGCATCGATCTTTTGACGTCGTCCCTAAGTAACGCGTATCGAACTGTGCGGAGTTCGTCCTCGGGGCGATGCTACGTCACAAGACATCTGTCGAGGAGCCGGTGAAAATAAATTTGAGAAAGTAACACAAACTCAACTCCTGAATAACCGAATTTATATATGTTACACACGCAGGGGTAATCTTGTTACACTGTTCAGGGGAGTCCCAACAACCATCCTAAAGTACCATTTTCGGAGAGTTTTCACCGTGATGTCTGCCAGGCGGTAAAAATGCCCGGATGTCCACCCCGAGAATAGTTCAATCCAGACTATCAAGAATGTCTTATGATAGCCCTCAAACTTTAATAAAACCATGCGAATGCTCTCAAAGTACAATTTCAAAAGCGTTTTACATGTAAAACGCTAAAAGGGTGTATCCCTCGCCCTCGAGTGACATTGTGAGTACTCAGTAACGTTAGAACTTACTACACAGGTGTGAAAAAACTCGAAAACTGTAGATGTTGTGCTGAAAGCCGGTACAACCAGTAACGCGACCTTCTGCCAGAATGTGAATTCTGCTTTTACTGACGTAATCCAACAGGTCACAGGTGCAAGCTAGGGCGTTATTACCAATAGTCCTGGAAGAAGGAAGGAAGAACCACAAAAACATGCATTTATCAGTTTGAAAATAAAAACAAGAAAGTCGACTCTATATTAGGGGAGCTAAATCAATCAATACTTACAACTCAACCAGTGTGGGTACTTTTTTAATTGCTTGGATAAAATTTTCGGGCATGCTCCGGGATGCCAATTCTTTCACGTGCCTGAAAAAATAACAAACTGAAATTTAAATCGTATATCGACATTATATAATACACTCAAGATGACAGCTCTTTGTATTGACCATTGTGAATTCGGTATGCAAATTACCGCCACAGAAATAATGTTTCATATTCCACATTCAAAACAAAATAACATGCAAATACGTCGCGAGGTTTGAGACGGAGAAAATACAATATTGTCTTTGTCAAATGTTATTTAATATTTTGCTGACACCTATACTGAGCTAGAATACCTACCGTTGTACAAATAATGTGGATACTTACAATTTGCGCAGATGAGTCAGTGGTTGGAAGAAATTTACTGGAAGGATAGTTATTTTCTCAGGTCCGTGATCTTCAAGTCTAAAATAAATTATAACAATTGGATGTGTCATTCGTCTGAACATTTACAAACTTCAATACGGTTACATAAACGTCTTAAAAATGATGACACCTTTTTAAGGGATTTATTATATAAGGTCATAATGTGAACAAAATAAAAACGCGTTAACAATTAACCCTAATTAGGGACTGGACAGGACATTGCATGCAGTTCAATCATGACAAGTCCTAAACTAATTTAAAATAAAGTAAATGTTTTGCCGTTTCAATAATCCAACGTATGCTAATACATCGGTGATCATGATAACATTTATAACATTTTTAGATAGTACTATATTTATATGGAAAATCACGTGACCGTCATTAATTCCATGAGTTCCACGATGTGACTGGCTCCGCTCAAATTTGCCTCATTTGCTCAAATATATATATATATATATATATATATATATATATATATATATATATATATATATATATATATAAAGCAGTGAAAAAATTATCTTGCTAAAATGTATTTTGATAAACTACAACGTGGCTCTAAATTGTCTATTGTTAAACTAACAGAAAAATGTTAGTGTTGTATCAGAGTTAAGCAACCACAGGTGTTCTCTTAAGTCGCGTTAATATTTAAATCCAAGATAATGGAATGCACTCCCGTTAATTGTCGGGCCTGTGTTCTGTTTCTAAGTTTTATTGAACATTATTAGGTTGTTGCCGAAATGCCGAAATTATTTCATATACTTATAAAATACGTAAAAGCAGTGTTAATAAATTAATAAACGCTGCTCGAACTGATAAATATGATGTATCAGAGGTACATTACTTGGGGTTTGCAACTCGCATAGTACTGTATGGTGACATCATGTCAAGATCCCATTGAAGTCTCTTCTCGTAGATAGCGAGACTGAGGCTACGACCTT